TCTTTACTCTCTGGGGAAGGTTCTACCCTCCCTAGGTTGTGTTCCATTTTCCTGCCAAGGTACAGATACGTATCAAAATTGTATTTTTCTTTAGTAAGTTCTTACATTTGTTTAGCTTTAAGTTGTTTTTCTTCTTCATTAATCACCTAAGATTGACTGCGCCACTTTCTTGTGTGCTGCCACTAATATAGAAGTGTAATGTCAAATAAATATTACTTTTATTATTATTATACATATCCTATTATAAATCTATCCTATTATACCTATCTATATTACCTACCTTATTACCTATCAAATAATCCATAGCCAATTCAATTAATATAATTTCCAGAAAACACATATTTGCAAGATTCAAGATATCATGCAACAGGTTACCAGCCAAAGCCACATGTTGTATGAATACTAACCTGGTTAAAAGATAATTCACAATCATTGAACCATATTTTATGCAAAAATAAAAGTCAATAAATATTGTCATGTATTAAATCTTTCCATTCTAATTGATTTCAGAGGAAGAATTAAAGATAAATCAATCTGCATCTTAAATGCTAATCCATAAACAGTTACCAATCTTTTCAATATGACAAAAAAAGTACATTAAACCACAAAATAATATTAAATCTTTAAATAATCGATAGGTAGTTAATCATAGGAGTTCTGAATGAGTCAATACAAAACTGCTTCAGAATTGTAAGTGCTTCAAAAAAAGATTCAGGGTCATTTAGACAATTTAGCACAATAGATATTTGCTAATTATATTCTATATATACAATGGAATATTAGGCTTAGAGCAGATTCAATCAATTGACTAGCACATGAATTAAAAGTGAAGTAGATTATTAAATCATTCCTATATTCAAAAGAATTTGACAAAGCATTATGTTTTCTAATGAAGGTAAAATTAATTTAAATAGTTTTGAATGTATTATTCAGTCTAAGGTAACAAACATTTACTAATTCTGGCATTAGCATTCATGTAGTCCTTGCCTTGAGATGTATTACCAAAAGCTATGAACTCTAGGGACCAGCATTTACTAATCCTGAGAAATATCATCTAATAAGTGGCTGGGTGATAGCATCTACAGTACTAGCCCTGGGCAAGTAAACTTGTAATTTATCATCTGCTCAAAAGATGCATTACCAAGAAAAAGAACATCATTTACTAGTCCAGGGCAATATCATCCACTAGACTTGGACACTACCATTTACTAGTTTTGGGAAACCGTATCTACTAGTCCTGGGCAAGTAAATCCATAATCCATCATCAGCTCCCCCACCTTTTCTCAACAGTGCATCACTAGGAATACAAAATACTGTATGATGCAAGTTCCTGGGTAATTATGACATTTCAACTGTATTGATCACTAAAAGGTAGGCCTAACTATTTCACTTGTTGTAAAGTTGGCCTTGGTTGTTTTTTATGCTTAAAATTAATCGTTGTTGGTTTGTTGACCACCCCACTGAGTAATTCATTAGATATGTTACACAGATTTAATGAACACGGCACCACTAATAGAGACACAATACATTGTGATCCACACGTTAATTTAACTGCATGTGGCAGTCTACTTTGAAGGATGCAGTGAATTGCGGAATATTATCAACTGTATGTAAATACAGACAAATATTCTATGATTTTGAAAAAAAAACAAAAAAAAAACAGATCTAGATGTGGATTTGGATTTATTATACTCGGAAAAATGGGTACCCGCATCACATCAGAGTTTGACGATAGATATTAAACCTTTCTTACCCCTGAACAAAGACATTTTATTTTTTATGAAACAAATGTAGCTTAAATTTTATACTAAAATTTTATGTGAAGTGATCTGATCTTCAAGATGCCTTAAGTGTCAAGATTTATTGGGTTCCCTTGTTCCCTTTATGCTCAAAATAATACACAGAGCAAATGATTTATGATATAAATATAAAACAATTTAACAATAATGCCTTCTGGGTGAAGATCATTCCTGATCTATCACTTTCTCTATTTTCAAAGTAAACACTGTATTTAGTATAATACCACAGAGCTATTAAGGGGTCATTCACATTTTTACAAGTTTACAAACAGTATGCTAGGGGGAGGGGGAACACAAATTTCTACACTTTTACATAAGCATGAAAATGTTGATTAAAAATAACATCCAATATTCAAAAAATTGATTTTTATGACCAATTATAATGCAGCGTGGATATAATTTACATATTTGTGTAACTAAGTAATGGTGAAAAAATGGTGATTGGTTTTGCAAAATCAACAATTTTTTTTATGTACACCTTCAGATAGGAGGAAGTACAGTCCCACCCAAAGAGCAAGTCTGTTCATAGACTTGCGAAAATGCTGCTTGTGAATGGCACCTAACAACTCTAAGAATAATATGTAATTAGTAGAAATAAAAACTTTAAATTGAAAACAAACAAATATATCACCATCACCAAACAAAGCTTCCCCTTAGTGGACATTCAATGAATTATCATAATTATCACTAAAGTAAAAAAAATAAAGTGAAGAATTTCTGACCTGTTATTATAGACAGTTAATTTAATAATCAACTATTAATTATATTATTTCTTATAGCATAAAGTAACTTTAAATTTTTAATTAATACAAGTAGACATTCTAATTGGTTAAAATGTGTGAGCAGTTCCTTAATTTACACTCTCAGTTCCAAAAATACCTTCACACACTTCCTCATATTTCGGTTTCCCATTTTAATAGATTACAATGGCTAAACTGTCCTTCAATTTTCCAGTAGGACAGACATCTAAAATGCTACTTAAATTATAGGCTATTATGGGTTTGGTACTTTATGCGCATTTTTGACTTTCGTAATTCGGTTGAGGATACAGGAATCAAGTAAACACCCATTGTGGGATGGCAGAACATGCACCTTACTCATCCAACAGAAAACATTTGGTAAACTGTGTTTTATCTTAAATAAATTGACTGCGAGGGTGTAAATTACTTGGCCGTCGAGCGTGTAAGAAGACAATGCGTACGTGCTCTCTGATTACTTCTACGCACCTCTGGTTTGGAAGAATAATGGGCATATTCAACAAACTTTTAACGTTTACTCCAATCAAAATTTATTGGCTGCATTATAAATCTATTGAACTTGTACCACATTTGAAAGAAACATCATTTAGGTTACAATAAATTTTTCTTCAAAAAGTTTTTAGGGCAAACTTTTTATTTTGATATTATCATGTTTTCATGATTTGAAACAGACTGTTTGTTTCACGCCAATCAGAGGAAAATTTATAAGAGTTTTCAATTTCTTGAAACAAAAAAATCAACAGTGCAGAAATAATAAGCTTGTTTGTTTGAGTGAAGTTGATTGGGCGAAGACGATGACCTTCCTGTAAAGTAATTCCAAGTACATTACAACATCATTATCCCTTAGAAGCATCATAAGGATGCTTACTCCACGATCTTATGAAATATCATAACCAATTACCTCGTAACCATAAATCCTTGTGCAAGTAAATAACGAGCGATGTTAGTGCGCTTGAGTAATGACGGACGAGAATTCAATCCAATATACGCAACCGTACATGCTCAAATCAACTTGTTTATGCCTTGTTAAATTATCTTATGAGGACAACATAATTTTCATAAACAAAAAAATCTTCAGGTAATGGATTCCCTTGTAATTTTTTTTAAGAGATAGATTGGTCCCTTGACGGATGATATGAGAATTGTTGTCATGGTAATATAATTTACCAAATAGGTTTTTTTTGCCGATGAAATGACATAGCTGAGAAATCATGACAGCTTACTTCATGGTAAAGGTTGAGGGTTAATTAAAGACTAAAAAAACATACGTCTGAATTAATGGCTTACGATTGCTAATTCAGTATGTGGTAAACATAGTTTATATAATTCAATAATGGAAAATACACGTTATATATTTAGTAATACTTAATACCTAGCATTAACTAATATTAAATACTGTATTTATAAAATTTTCCTGAAATTTTTAATACTGACATCATTGAAACATGTCTCGTTCTTTACCTATCATATTAACTGAAATTATAAATATGTTAAATAAATCAAAATTATGACAATATCTGACAAATATCTGATATGAAATATTACTTGTATAACAAATATATTATAATACATCATAGCAAGAGTCTAACAGGAAGCAATTTATTTTGGTGAGTATCATTTTTCATAACAGAACAAAATTATGGCTTCGTTCCGACGTGATCAATGCCTTTGACTGCCGTCCATAAAAAATAATCGTACATTGTCTACATGTAGAAATATGCAAAAAGATATTACAGTCTGTCAAAACAGCCGTGCTGTCAACAAGAATTACCGGTGTTCATATTATCGTGTTGTATACATTAAATAAACTGTGCATTAATACCCTGGAAATTTTAAATAGGCCTGTGCTGTACATTCCACCACCATTAAATATGTTAATTTCATAGTGAAAAACTACAATAATGTAGCCTATGCCAGCATACTGCACAGAATGACATTGTAGGCTAACTATTAATACCAGACTCCCTTTTGTGTGTGTAAACACTGTTGGCATAACACAATATAAACTCAGGTCTGTTTACAATAGTTGATCAATAACAGTAGAGACCTAGAGTAAACTACTACTACTAGTTAATTTACACGTTGATGGTAACTGAGACTTGGTAAAACATGATGATGACGATGATGATGATGTTCTGTTCATGATGATCAATGATCATTACTAATAAAGGTGTCAGATGATGTCACTTGTATATAATGATGATAACAGTGACGATGAATAATTAACTCATCTATTACCTGAATCACAAAATTCAGATGTAATTTAATTTAAACAATTTCCTCATGTAGTCCAGTTATTTTCTACAAATGTCAAATTCTATGATTACAGTAGGCCTATACTCTTAACTAATATATGTATTAAAACCTATTCCAATATAACAGCAAAATATTACAATACAATATTTTCCAAATTGATTAATAATAATTTTTTTTTTAAACTCACATTGAGAATAATAAAATCCATGGCATCCATTTTGAATCGGTTTTTGTTTATCCCTTGCACGGTTACTTCATTTACGTCTGTATAAATAGTATTTATCAAAAAAAGAGATAGTACACTGTGAAAAAAAATATAATCTTCAGACTTTCAACCGGTGTTTGAACTTGCTGAGCAACAAAATCTATTATCACACTTGACCATGAGAAGTTAATAGTGTGTTTATAGTAAGCTTGAACATCTAATCATTTCCCTTCTTGCCTGGAGCAAAAGCCAAATTGTGGTCAATGTCACTGCAACAATGATAATTTCACCATGATGAATACAACATAACAAGTGGTTATACTACACTCTCTGCTGTCTTAACAACAAGCCTTTCCTTAACCAATATCAACATTACTCTGAAGAGTTGGTCACCAGCCAATATATTTCATTCAATGCACCCTGGGAAGATTATGCAAATTCCCTCAACTTGGATCCAGGCCATGCAGCCAATCAGATGAGCAGATCTCCTGTGGACTGCTCCATATTATGGGCAGGTGTGAACTATCCTGAGGGATGTTAATAGGAGGTAATCTATTGGCTAACGGTAACACCTATTGTGGGACTAATTTTCCAGATGTGTAGTGGTAATTAGCCTATCACTTTGAACTACAAACACAGCCGACAGATTCCAGCGAATAAAGGAGAAACAATAGCCACATAGCCTGACAAATAAGTAATAGTAACAAATAAAGCGTTCCGCTTCATTACCATAGGACACAGCCTAACCACGCGCCAATGTTATCCCCTTTCAACCACTCACCCTGTGCCTTTGAAACGTGGATAAACCCTAAGACACCTGCTTAAAATAGACTTTAAAATATGTCTTAATCAACTAAGACAATAACATTATAGGATTTAAGCTGAATATCTGGAGTTAAATAAACAAAAGGGTGCACTAAAGGTCAGGCTATAGGCGAAACAAATGGCGCAAGGCATCAAAGGACTGGAACAGGACTCAGGGCAAGGTAAACATTGTACTAGGCTAAACATATTGATCTCTATGTATACAACTACAGTATTATTGTTAACCCATTTTAGCACTGGTACTCTGACAAACCAAGAGGCAAAACTTGTAAAATGACAATGAACATATTTACTTTCTCCCATGAATGAACATGCTCCTACTGTACAACTGTAGAGACCCGTTTTTTTCCCTTTTTTTTTTTTTGTAATTTGGGAAAACTAATGCCATGATACACAATATAATTTACTTCACAACTAAGATTTTTTTTTGTTTAATAATATTTAAATCAAAGCAGATATTAATATCCTGGGTTTATAAATCAACTAATGTGGAAAACATCACTGTACTGTGCTGTAATACTCTAAACTGAATTGAATAAACAAAAGCAATCAAATCAATAAACAAGTGAAAAAAAAAATGGAATAGTTATCAGCAGATACACGAAGTCAGGAAACATATGGGGGGTGCGGAGAGCATACAGAGATAGAAATCTAATCTCCATATGCCTTCCATGAACAGATTCTTAAAAATACTAATAAATGGTCACCATATTTTAAAGCACTACATATTTACTAGAATATGCATAGTTCATTACTGTATTGATTTCTGCATTAAAACCAGTTATTTTCGTTTTAAACCAAGGTCACTTCTAAATTAAATAATCATAGATATCAACTAAATATTATCTTTTTAGTCTAACCAAATTTTTTTGGCATTGCCCATGTTTAAGAAGGATAGCAAAGGTTTAAAGTCAGACTTCGGAGGAAAAAAAATGTTTGATATGTTGTAGCAATGCTTTTTCTAAGACAGAAAAAAAGTTGTTTGATAAAAAACTGGGGAACGGTGAACGAGATACAGATTTTTGAATATTTAAAAACGGGGGGAAAAGAGGGGGGGCGTAACCGCCCATTTTTACACCTTTTTCCCCCAGTTAAATATTCAAAAATCTGCATCTCATTCACCGTTGCTCAGTTTTTGATCAAACTACATTTTTCTGTCTTAGAAAAATCAGTTCTACAACATATCAAAAATTTTTTCCCCTCCTGAGCCTTTTTTTTGGCATTGCCCATGTTTAAGAAGGATAGCAAAGGTTTAAAGTCAGACTTCGGAGGAAAAAAAATGTTTGATATGTTGTAGCAATGCTTTTTCTAAGACAGAAAAAAAGTTGTTTGATAAAAAACTGGGGAACGGTGAACGAGATACAGATTTTTGAATATTTAAAAACGGGGGGAAAAGAGGGGGGGGGGGGGCGTAACCGCCCATTTTTACACCTTTTTCCCCCAGTTAAATATTCAAAAATCTGCATCTCATTCACCGTTGCTCAGTTTTTGATCAAACTACATTTTTCTGTCTTAGAAAAATCAGTTCTACAACATATCAAAAATTTTTTCCCCTATGGAGCCTGACTTTAATTACAATATTGACATTTTAAAATAGAGTGAATCTAAAACACTTCATGTTACGATTTGTTCCACTTATGTAAACTTCTCTGTAAAGAATCGATAAAAAATAATATTTTAAAATAATAAAATACATTTAGTATGTGCCAATGGCAGAATCAAGGGGAACCCAGCTGCCATTCCCCCCTCCCCCTTATTTTTTTCAAAATTATATAAAAAATGAGAAAATAATAAAATTGTATTCAAATGCAAGTCTGACCATTTCTGGCCATCTAGAGGTGTCATAAACATACATTTTGATAATCATAAATTGTCTCCCCTATCTGTGAAAGTCCTAACCTGGGCCCCTCAGCCCCCTCTACTTTGAATTCCTTGATCTGCCACTGTGTGCCATATTAAAAAAGCTCTGAAATAAATAACACATTCTTGTGAAATTTTTTTTACAAAAATTTACTCACATTCATACTCTGATTTAAATTTTTTATCCTTTAAGTGGCATATGTCGAGATATTGAATAAAATCAATTAACCCATAATTGTATTTCATATGGAGACGATTGCCATCAGTCTGTCCCCATACAATTATGCAAAATATCTTGGCTAGGTTCCAAACCGCCAAATTTGCTAGAAAACCTTGAAAAACATAGTCAACAATATCAATCATGAAGTAGAGGGAGGCTTGGTAGAGCTTAGTAAAATGTGTTTTGGATGATTGGAAGACAACATTGTACATATAAATAATATAAATCGATAGTCCATTTCATGAATAAATGTATTCATATTTGAAACATGGATTAGATTGAAGATATAATTATCAATGAAATTAAGTCATCTATACAAATATATTAGCCTAGGATTTTAAAAGAGATTATATACTTCATACATTTATTGATCAAGGTGGTTATTAGGATTAACTCTTCTAAAAACAATTTAACCTGGAGAATAATTTTTTTTTTAATGAATTGCTTTTTTGATTGAAGAATTTCAATCTATCTTTATCAAACTTTCTCTAAGTAAAATAACACCTTTTCTATACAGACTAATTTAAACAAACATTTTAAGGGGAAGGGTAAATTACTGGAGATTTTCTATATATCCTTGCTAAAAGAGGGCTGAGTCTTACTATGAACAAGGACAAAATGACTGGCCTAGGAAGGGACAATGACACTAAGTCAGTGTCAAGAAAATTTTTGAGGATATTTTTACTGTATTTTACTATATTTAGGATATGCTGTTTTAATGTATTTTTATATTTTAGTGTATTTGTTTTTTGTAATCTGTATTTTACTGTATTCATTTTTAATTAACTTTTCTTTTGAATGCACCACAGCTTCACAAATGCACTGATACAAAACATGAAAAAAGGTTAACCTAAAATATGATAATGATCTTATAAAAAATTATTAAAATACTGAAAAATAATTCTAAAAAGATAAAGATTGTATCTTTGCAAGCTAAGCAAAGACTTCATGATATGGTAAATAATATGCAAGATCCTGGTAATGCATTAGACATTTATATTCAGATTCTACACTAACTGCAAGTATTTGCCTTAGGGAACGTATCAATGCATTCATCTACAAAATATAACATGAAACTGTACAGCAGAATGTTAAAAATAACCCTGACTGTTCGCAAGGCTTCTTATAAGCTATCTGATTTATCTACTATACATCCCTACCATATTGGCATTTGCGACATAAACTCGGATTAAAATCCCATAAACATTTGCCTCGGTCATTCACAAGTCTTTAAATGACCTACTTACAGCATGTTCATAAACACCAGTATATAAAAAGCACGGACAGGAATTGGACGCGGGGGAAGGTTAAAAAAACCATCGGTCATGAGGTAAAAATTTATGATGACAGGAAATACAAAAAGAAAAATAATGCAATAAAGTAAAGAAAAAATAAATAAATAATTAACATAGGTTGAAATTAGCTGCTAATAATTATATACATTTTCATAAATTTAAATACATATATTCTGATACTCAATAATTTAAGTACATAAATTCTGATATTTAATAATTTTTATATTTATTATATAATACTTATTTGACATATTAACTATTTTCTTATGCATGGCTCCAAGACCAAGTTTGTATAAAATGATCCTACCATACTATAAGTGAATAAGTAAATATTAAGACTTATCTATCTATAACACACTCAATTATTGTTACTACATCTGGATTTAAAATAAATACAATGAATTTAAAAGGATTTTTTTTTTGACATATTTGTTAATGCAACAAAAATAGGCTAGAAATACAAGGTGGTAATATTTCAGATTAGCATGAATATTTTTTTCACAATTTTTGTAAGTCATTACTACATTTGTTTAATTAATTAAATCATTAATTACACTGACTGACATTTCCAAGCATGTGTGAAAAGATTATTATAATGTAGTTAATTTGCGCTAACCTGTTGATTACTACGTGCAAATCCGCTTGTGTCATTGAGCAAGGCACTTTAGCTACATTGCTTCAGTCCACCCAGCTGTATCAATGGGTACCAGCAAACTGTTGGGGACTAACTTGCGATGGACTAGTGTCCCGTCCAGGGGGAGTACAACTCTCATCCGCTTCACACAACAGAAACTGGGGATAATCTCCAGCCTTATGAGCCCCAGGGGCTCAGAAAGGATTTAGTTTAGTTGATTACTACTAGGTTTAATGAGAAATGGTAATTACACAATTGAGTATAATTAATTTCAACTTAACCTAATTTGCGATATATTCTCCACTGACAAATTCATGTGCATGTGAGAAGGCTTATTTAGGTGAATGTTTCACAACAATGGAAAATGAAAATCAAGAATATGTTTCACAACCGGAAAATGAAAATTAAGAATATGTTTCACAACCATAGAAAATGTGATTCCAGAACAAACAAAGAACTTCTAACAATGTAGGGCAATGATAAAAGGATATTATAACAATGATGTATGAAGAACATTTAGTTAAAAAAAAAATCTTTCC